CGCCAGGGCGTACACCCCACCCCCTACAAAGCACAACTGCGCCTGCCCCGCAAATCACACCGGCAGAGCGGCGGAGACCCAGCGACGCCAGGGCTGCGTGCGGATTATTCCGGTTGGTTGATTGCCTCGAAGCTTACACAACGCCTCAGCACCTTCGGTGCGGGCGGATTTTCGCTTTAGCTTCGTGGAGATGTATAACAGAGAGTCGAAGAAGCCCTTAAGCCGTATCCTTTTGCATCCTGTTTGAGGGCCGCCTCACACCAAAAGAGGCATCTTTTAGTAAGTGGGTGCTATCTTGTGAGCCCTTGTGGAAAGACACAGTGGATCTAGATGCAGGGAGTCGGAGTTTCTTGGCCCTTTTGCTTTGTTTGAGGGCCGTCTCGGGGCAAGAAAGTGCACAAATTAAAAAGTTGACTCTAGCACCAAGTTCCCCTAGAAAAGACCTCAAGGATGAATTTTTGTTGGTGTCCTTTTGTGTTTGGCTTAGACAACAAAAGAGGGCGCCTCCGAAAAGCGGGTTTTAGCGATAGGACGTTGGACAAAGAAGGGCAGGGCAGATGCATCTCCGCGCTCTTTACATGAATCGTGCAAACGATGGTTTGTGCGGAGTGTTGGAGACTCTACACTGTTTGTTGGACGTTTTTGCGTGAAGCGCGTTGCTCTAAGCGTGTGCGACGGCTGGCTTTCGTCCCCTCACTTCTCAGGTCACTCTAGTCTTTGTCTTCAAATAGAATTTTGGCGCAGGAAGTGCATCAAGGGCAGTGCCAAGATGCACCCTGCCGTGGAACATTAATTGAAGGGTGGGGTTACTCTATGAACTACGATTTTTTGTCGATTACTTTTCTCCGAAATTACTGGCAAACATGTATGAGGTGGGTGCCAATTAATTTTCAATCTTTTATTCAAACAACCTGGATGAATTACTTTGTGTCGGGGAGGTTCCGAGGGTTTGCTACACAAACCCCTCCAAACTACTTTTCGAATCCAGTGTGGGTTGAGAAGAGAACCCACCTTCAATTAGTATTGAACAAAAAAACCGTGATCAAGATTCTATAAAGAACATGGGGGTTCCCTTAACTTGTTATTTAGGGGTGCATATAACAGCTAGGAATAATTTGCTTAACAAACGATCATGCGAGTCAGGAAAATAATTTGATGTATGATGACACTGCGCAGATTAAATAATGGTGGTGGGACATGGTGGTGGTCTAAAGCAGGGGGCATATGCCAAGGACCCAAGTCTTCCTGCACGCTTCTGGGAACCGTGAGGCGGGTACGTGCTGCCCTCGGACGAGGACAACCCAGCGCGGCTGGATGCAGTGCTCGCGACCTCTAGGGCTTTTGGGAACTTTCGCTTCAAAGATGTGAGCCATTCACCAGGACCGAGATGTCATCTCTGAGGCGTCGAAATGTTTTCAGTCTTCTTTTTGCCCCAAGATGGAAACTGTTGGAGTCGAGATAGCGGGTTGATTTGATCGATTCGGGAGAGTAAGGATCGGGAAACACAGCAATAAGTAGCGAGGACTGAGACAAGGTATTCTTTGCGTTTCAGATCCAAATGGAGGATTGCAATATGTGGGGAATTGGGTCCAAATAAGTACTCATGCTGAAAAGATTGAGATGGTTGAAACATGTTGAAACTATTTGTTTTCAGTCAATTGAAAGCAACACATGCACAACGTTGAGATGGAGCGTATTTTAGAGTATTTTAATATTTGCGCATTGTGGACATTATTCCTTTCTTGTTCCCAAGGTGTAATTTACAGATGGTTTGTTGAATGGTTTTCTCCTTCGTCGCGGGCGTGTGACACTTGCGACGTAGACTTAGACGACAACAGGTGCTTTTTCGTCCCACATCCCAAACCTCAGGAACCCGGAAAGTGAGTCCTGTGCCCGACGTGACGGTCTTGGACGCGAGGGCAGGAGACGTGATCGTGTTCCGTGGCCGGAGACCAGCCAGGGGGGCCTGAAGCCAGGTTTCGGGTGAAGCACATGTGGTTAGACCTTGCGTTTGTATGTTTGTGGTTGATCATTCTCCCCGGTTTTCATGGTTTCTGGTTTTTAGGAGCTGGAGTTGGTATTTGTTGTCACAGGAATGATCTTTTGGCTTGGCCACTTTGGGGACACCTGTGATGACTTAATCACCAGCCCTGAGGATTTTGTAGGGACAACAAAAGCTTTATCACGGTCAACATCCACATCGAAGAAGTTTGAATCAATCACCAAACGCATAATATCCACACACAGTACATGTATTGCACAATGTATTGAATCTGAATGTGATTGAATCGAAGAATGAAAAGAAGGTACTAGGGGCTCCTGGCATAGCTACTAGGAGCAAGGACGCTACTAGGGGCTCCTGGCCGTACTACTAGGAACAAGAAGCTACTAGTAGCAAAGGGCATGAACTCTTGCCGTTTTCTGTCAGATGAGGTTGGCCACCGACGGTGTGCTGGATGTTCTCAGCAGCTCCCAGGCGGGACTTTCAAGACGAACAGGTCTGCGACGCAAGGCCGACTCTCCTCACTGAGGGAAGCTATAACGATACATGATACATGTGAATATATCGACTGTATATAACTTATAACTGTATATATACACATAACATGCTGAGAGTCAAAGACTATAAAAACATTGTCTTTAGGACTTTAGGTTACCTGAAAGGGAACATCCTTTACGTCACTGCGGCAAAATCTAGTCTTTCGACTTCTATGGTAGATACTGTATATACATACAACATATCTCTAGACTAGAGGAATCCTAAAGATCCATCAAGTGCACGTCCTCATTCTTTCCTGTTCCCTTCCTGTTCGTCCAACATCTGGATCCATGGGCTTTGGCCAGGTCGCCAACTTTGCTGTGCGGGGCCTGGCTGCAGGTGCTAAACTGGAGCAGTTGTGGTATTTCAATTTGAGGCGTTTGTACTGAACTCTTCGTTTTCATCTTGTTCCAGTGGTTGGAAGACACAGTAGGTTCACTTGTCCGAAAACCCCCTTGCCCTTTCCAGGATCCCTGAACATGCATCTGTGGGTGCGGCAAAGTTGGGAGGTGACTTCACTGTATAGTTGGTTGGTATCAGTGCGAGTTGTCGCGCAGGCAACTCATAGGGCTGGCTCGTCAGACGCTTTTTTCATTTTAAAGCTTTCATACACGGTTATATGTCCGTCCAATAGGAATGGTTGCAATATGTTGCAGTTGTTGCGCTTCATTCCAAACATCACGAATAGCAGGCAAGCCGACCACTGCTATATAGTTGTCCTTCTGTAGCAATAATATGTACACAAGCCCCTATGCCTTGTGGAACAATGTAGAAGTTGCAGGCGAGGAAACTTCACTCGTGTGGAGGAAAACGTTTCTACAGCTTGAAATTCACCTTTCTTTAATATTGGAATGATCCCAAATTTCACAGAGGTGTGACACATGTCAATGTTGTCAAAGTTTCAGAGAGCAGCAACTACATAATATCTCTGACATGTAGCCAGCCAGCTTGCCGCTGGCCACCAGGTGCTGTGGAGGCGGCCGCGGACGTTGTTTGGGAGGCCTTGCAGGCACAAACGCAGGAGGGGCTCTTCAGTGGGGCTGGGCTTTGCAGGAGTGGTACCGTAACCTGGGTTGGTCACTTCATGGTGCTCAGGATGAAATCCGGAGAGGTGAAATCGGGTGGACAGTGTATTGTCTCCGTGACCTGGCCGAGCCAATTGTTCGAAAAGCTGCCTTTACTGTTTCTGTTGAGCATTGGCCGGATCAGAAGACAAACATGTGTGGGCCAGGTGCAAAATCATGTGAGTTTTCACACTCTCTACTGGAGCCAGTGGCATGTTCTTTCTTTGGACGGATACTGTATCCATTGTCCATTGTCAAGGATAAATCATCAGATAGGAAGAACTTGCCAACGCTCTAGCCCAAGAATCAACGAAGCGTGCTCATGCTCAGCATTGATGCGAATAAGTCCGTCAGATCATCATGATCATGAATGCTCATTGCAACTGGCCATGCAGCCATGTACACACAGTTTATACAACTGAAACAACACACGCAACTAACCTTAAGTTTTCCTAAACATCTAAGAACCAAATGAATAGTGCGAGCGCTTCTTCCATTAAGCTCCCCCCCCGCCTTTAGGGTGGCGTGGGGAGCTTCCTTGAAGAAGCGTGAGCTATCCTTCGTCCATACATTAAGCTACTAGCTACCTAGCTACTACTAGCTACCTCTATTCTACTAGCTACTACCTCCCTCTTAGCGGCCTACCCCCCCGCAAAAACACTTAAAACGTTTTGTACGTTCGTGAAACATGTGCGTTCTCTTTGGATCCGCTATGCAGGACAATGTGACTTGTGCAGTCATTCGTCTCGGCTCCTGACGTGCTGCTTGTTTCAGCTTGTTTTGGGCATCATCAAGTCTCCCTGCCAAAACGGCGAGGATTGGGACTTGTGTGAGCGGGCTTGTCAGGTCTGAGGCAGTTGTGAAAAACATATGCAACCCTACAATGGGTTGCATGTCTGGATCGTTCAGCTAGTGCTCGTTTCTGATCCAATCTTCTGTTTGTCTTCAGAAGGGCTCCTCCTCTACAGCAAGAATCTCAGCGAGACCGAAACTGCCATGCAAAGACAAATGACATGGTCCAAGTGACAGTTCGACATGATGGCAGGGCCGACGTGAGAGCAAAGCCTGCGTTAAGATGGGCACTGCTCCGTTGAGCGGAGGTGAAAAGGTTTTTGTACGGGGAGTTGGATGTAATGTAGATGGTCGTGCAGCTAGGGAGCCCAGGTTGTGTGTTTCCATGGTTTGCCTGAATCAAGAGAGTTAAATTCACTGAGGGTGACGATGAGCATGAACAAAGTCGATGTCCAACAAATCGCAATGTTTGCTTTTGAACCTTTCCGGATGCAGGAGTTTGCTTTCATCCTTCCTTCTGAAAACGCCGATCAAAGCGTTCTAAAGACCCCTTTTCCCCAGAATGACCCCGCTTTGCGGCCACCAGTCCCTCGGAGTCGCTGCAGGCGGCTCCGTTGCCAGAAAGAGCTGGGCGACATCTTGTCCGAGATGATCCGTGATGGGAAGGCCGAGTTCGTAGCTTCCGAACGTCCGGAGCTCGTCCGGAGCTACACGACTCGCTGTTTTTAACGAACCGACGCAACGACATGATGTTAAGCTGTGGAGCAGGCCATTTGGAGCCATTCTCTGATTTGTTGAGATAACTACAGAAGCCCCATATTCTTAGCGGCTAGCTGCTAGACTGCTTCGTCCATGCCTTGCTGTTCCTGGCCGTCCCACAGCCAGTCGATGGAGGTCCCAAAGGAGGACCTGTCCTTCGAAGTCTTGCAAGAGCTTTGTGGGATGACACTGGACTGGAGGACAGATCCGGCCGACCATAGTAGGCCTGGTCTACAGTCTATCGGTTGATTATATAATAGGATACTCTCAAGTCTACAGCCACTAGGATAAAAATAGATCCCTCTATTGTTCCCAAAGGACATGATTGGGGCCGACTTTGCTGAGATGCTTCAAGCGCGGTGTCACCATGTTCGGAGTTTTCCTCAGTTTTTGGATTCGCAGATCAATATGCATGGATCTCAAAGAGCACGCACAGCAGGACCTGTGGGGAGAAGCTCACAAAGGACGCCGCCAAACTGTGCGAGGTGGGCAGGATCTGACGTCTCTCAGAGTTGGCTAGAGATTCCAACAGGAAAGACTGGAGACTCGAGACACACCTGTTACAGTGGTGAAAGACAGATGACCAGCACAAGGCGTGCTGGATCGAAATCCTCTGTTGCAACAAACAGGGGCCGAGACCAAATCCTTTGTGGTTGTGGTTGGCTTTTGGTGGCCACCTGACACCCGTTCGCAAGTTGCAAATCTGCACTTCCTTGTCCTTCAATATTCCATCCCGCTGCATGAACCGGGTGCTTTTGACGCATATCTCGACTTGAACATCGCCCATCAAGCTGCACCATCGGCCATCAATGTTGTTTCATGATTCATGACATGACAAGTGCTCCACTGAGATGATGGGTTCTATGCTCTCATGGGACCATGGGAGGATGCTTGGTGACCCATTGAACCTTGATGTTTCGAACAAATCCTCGGCACAAGCGCTGGTTTCTGCATCCGCATTGCAGGGGAAGAGCTTGGAAAGCTTGTTGCCATTGCTAAAGTCATCAGTCAAGGCAGGGCCAATAATTCACACTAGCCTGTGTTTGGCCTTGATGTCTTTAGTCTGTTTGCTTGTCACTTCCGAACTCACACATGCGGGATGACTACTGACTACTGCTTGTATTAGGTTGTCCTATGCCATACCAAAGATTTCTCACTTCTGATTTGCGGGCACCATACTTTACAGCAGGCAAATAACGCATCTCTCTCTCTCTCTGTTGTAAAATTCAGCAGCTGTTTTGTTTGTCGTTTGTTTGTGCACGTCTCTGTATTGTTTTCCCCTCTGGCAATTGTCCTTAGGCTCAAGCTAAGCTCAAGGCCTTTGATCCAAGGTGCATTGTATAGCACCATGCAATTGTACATCAACACTACGATGGAGTAAGTAAGCTATTGTGAAAAAGCTTGTCTCTTAACACCGTCCCTTGGTTTGATTCATTGTTGAATCACACCATCAATACAAACATTGTTGAAACAGTAAAGGAACATTATTGTACAAAGCAGTTCAAACATTGTTAGCAAGTCTGTACAGCTTTTCTGCCATTGTCTCTCCAGCATTGTTGCCCTTCTCATCGTGGTGCTCGTGGGCATTTGTTGCCAGAGACTTGCAGCTTGTACAGCCATTGTTCTACTCTTGCGACTCTTCCATCTGGTCGCTGGTCGATTGTCGAGGGCGTTTTGTGCCCTTTCTCCTCTTCTTCATCTTCTGACCTTTCCATATTGTTCTCATTGTATAGGACTGCTCGGTCCTCCCACAAGGAGATTGTCGAGTTTGTCGAAAGTCGACGCTGATTGTGGTAGTCTGGAATCGTCATCTCCATGGCCATTGTTGCCCTTGAAATTGTTCTCGAGAAAGTCGATCCCGATTGTCAGCGCTCGTGTGCCGGGAAGCGGCTGCGGTCAAAAGGATTGTTGACAAATTGTCAACTGAACATGCATTGTCTTCCAAATTCAGAAAGCAAAACTTCAAACACATTGTTCATCGAATTGTTCTACGAGTCGACGACAGAAAGATTGGATCCATTGTGAGACTGAAATCTTGTAGTACATATTGTCTATGACATAGTATGCACATAGTAGCTAAAGTAGTGTGCCATGGCTTGATGCCGCCGTGTATGTGGGAGTTGATCGAAAACCCCATGTAAGGAGTTATATATAAAACAGCCTTTCAGATGTTGTTAGAACCATCCGCGACAGATTCGCGAGGAGGCTCGCGAAAGTATCTTTTTTTTTCCGCGAAAGATTTATCGAAGGTCATCGCTTTCATTGTTTGCCTTTCTACCGGACTGACAAAGAATAGAAACGCAAGGCAATCCTGCGGCAGAGCCAGTGGGCGGAAGTGTCCCCATATGTCACAGACTAACGAACTGAAGCCTCAACATTTCCGTGCCGAGCCCTGGCAGTGCGTAAAGGATTCTCCGATTCCTGTCCCCACTGTCACAGGCTAGCAATCTGGGTAGGCACAGCCCTGACAGTGAGGCAACGACCTGCAGCTGCTCTGACGGGCTGCGCAGATGTTTGCAAATGTTACGGCTTCCCGGGGAAAGCGCCAGTGAAATTTCGCGAAAGATCCACGAAAGTTTCGCGAATGTGCCGCTAAAGTCTAGGTTCCCAGCTTGAGGCCCCCCAACATTCCCCAAGCTGTATCACCCTGTGTTGGTAGCTGGCACGAGGATTGGGTTGAGTTGTGCCTGACTCTATTTGGCGCAATTGTATTCAACCATCTACTGGGGTCATGCTGCAAGATGTCTCTCCCTATTTTGTGATACTATGACATGTTCCGGCTCATGTTGGCTAGACATGGTTGTAGGACCATGCTTTGCGATGAGGCCGCGAAAGATCCGCGAAAGATATCTTTTTTTCCGCGATGAATGGCCATTCCAGGATGAAAGAATATTGACCAACCACCATGTATTGTACACGCGTGGATGCTGCCATGGTTGTGAAACTGTTTGTGCGATCGCAGTTCAGTTGTGGTGTTGTGGGCATTGAATGCCCGCCATGTAGAGATGTTTGTTAAGCACCTCTGCCGGGACATACTTTGTCAGTATGTCTGCTGGGTTGTCGTGTGTGCTGATCTTGTGTATTGACAGTACCCCGCTTTGTACCAGTTGTTGTATGAAGAGGTACTTCAGGTCAATGTGCTTTGCTTTCTTTGACGAGCCAATTCTTGTTGCAATGCTTTTGCCGCTTGTGCTGTCTGTGTGTATGCGAATGTTCACCTTTGTTGTTGTGGCTTCCTTTATGAAATTTGCTATATGTAGTCCTTCTTGTGCTCCTGTTCCTATTGCATATAGTTCTGACTCTGCTGATGATAATGCTACTACTGCTTGTGTTCTGCTTCCAAATTGTACCACGGATCCCATCATTGTCACGATGAATCCACTTGTTGATTTTCTTGTGCTTGGGCATCCTGCCCAGTCCGCATCGACATAAATGTTGAGGTCGATGGGTCCTTTGTCTGTGGTGTATGTGTTGTCCTCAGGATCATCTTGTAGTGTTGTGTTCCCCTGAGGTATCGTAGGAGGTGCTTCACCTTGCGAATGCTTTGCTGTGTTGGTTGTTGTAGATCTCGTGCTAGTTCTTTTGTTGCAAAGCTGATGTCTGGTCTTGCGTCGGTCAGCCATTGTAGCTTTCCTACTGCTCTCCTGTAGTCTGCATGTTCTTGTGCATCTAGAGGTGCATCATCGTTTGTGGACTGTTTCAGGGTTGCCGTCCCTGGAGTTGATGCTGGATTGCTTGCTTCCATCTTTGTTTCCTTCAGCAATGTAGTGATGTATTCTGGTTTGAGGCTCACCTCAAAGAAGTCTCCATTGTTGTGGATGTCTCTGCCAAGGAATTGGATTGTCTGACCAATTCCCAATGTACCGGTTGGCCGTCGACTTCTTGTTGTTGTCCTAGGAATAGTAAGTCATCCACATAGACCATCACAAACATTGTCTGTTCATTGTTCCTGTACACGTTGGGTTCACTTGTGAGTCGAGACAGTCCCAATTGTTGCAGGACTTGTGCAAAGTGATCTTGCCAAGATTTTGGACTTGATCGTAGTCCATAGATTGCTTTGTTGAGCTTCCACACTGTGGTTGTGTTGTGACCACTTGGGTATAGTTCTGGTGGTGGCCACATGTAAAGATTGTCCGTCGCTGCTGGTGCATGTAGGAATGCTGTTGACACGTCTCCTGCTTGTATCGTCCAGTGGTTGTGCTGTGCCATTGTCAGTAGGATGCGCAAGATCCCAAAGATCGGTGTGCTCGCATAGATGTTGTCAAGGTCTTGGATTGTTTCCAGGAAACCTTTTGCTACTATGCGACATCTCACTTCCTCTTGTTTGGGTTTGTTGACCCACTTGGATTCTATGATCTTGTTCTTGTGTTCTTCTGGGGCATCATTGTAGTTCATCTCTGTGAACACTCCTTGTGTCTTCATCGATTGTGCTTCTTTCTTCATTCCTTGTTGTACTTTCAATGGATCAAGACCTTCATTGTCGTAGACGAAGGGTTCTTGTAGCATCCTTTCCACTTCTGCTTCTTGTTCATCTTCGCAGGATGCTGTGGTGATCTTGTCACCTTTCTTTGTGGTGATTGTCACTGCTTGTATTCTCATCTTTGCTTTTGGTTGTTCTTCATCTTGTCCTCTGTTTGCTGCTGTTGAGGACTGTGCTGTCCTTGATTGTTTGGATTGTGCTTCACCTGTAGGCTCCTCGCGTTGTCGCTTGCTTGCTGGTGGTAATGGCAGTGTTGGTCTTGCCATTGTTGTTGGTGAAGTTGCCAATGGTGATGTTGCCATTGTCGTATCCATTGGCTGATGATGCATTGCTTGTGTTGGTAGCGCCAGTGGTGTCTCTTGTACTGTCTGTGTGCTTGTATCTTCCACTGTAATGTCAGCTTGTGTGCCGATCGCTTGTCTGCTTGTGGTGTTGTCAGCTGGTAGAAGCAATTGTGGCGGAATTGCCATTGGTGTTGTTGGCAAGTTCCATGGATACACGTTGATGGTATCCAGTAGTTGCTTGTCGTACTTGTCTGGCATGATCTGTCTTCGTATTGTTCTTGCTCTGATGACCTTGCCAGGGATGCCAACTATTGACTCTCCAGTCACTGTGTCTCTGCCAAGCCAGATTCCTTTGAAGAATCTTGGCTCCATCTTGGGTTGTGCTTTTGTGGTTGGTATCATGTATTGTACTGTTTCTGCCATCTCGCATAGTGGTGCTTTGTGGTCCTTCTGCCATCGTCTTTGGTAACTTGTTTGTCCGTCATTGTGCATGGCATACCTGTTCAGTAGCCAGGCTGCACGCCGTACAATCCACGGCATGACCGGATGTTGTACGCTCAATGTGAGGTTGTAGCTTGTGGTCACTTGTTGTACGAGTGCTCGGACTTGTCCCATCAAGGTGCGATGGAATCGTTCAATGCTTCCTTGTGATTGTGACGAGTATGCCGGTGATTGTCGGATGTTGACGTTGTTTCCGAGCTTTTGTGCGACGGCCTTCAGTAGGTTCTGTATGTATTCTTCTTGGTCTGATTGTAGTGTTGTGGTGGATAGTGTTGCTTGTGCTCGTCCACATTCAAACATGAATGTTTGTAGACATCGTGTCAGGTATTGTTGTTGTTGGTTCTTGTCTTGTACAAGAACTGCCATTGCCATACCTGATTCGACATCTATTGCCGTGAGTACTGGTAGTACTTGTTTGTCTCCAAATGCTTTCATGTAGGTGAAGTCCACTTGTATCACTGGTTGTTCGCTTGCTTGTTTTGGGTGATTGTCTGTTCTTCCTTTGCTCTTGAAACAAGTTGGGCACCATGAGCGATATGGTAAATGTGTCAGCGCATGTTCTAGTCACCTTTCTTGTCTTGTTGGTTGTTGTGGCGCCTTCATCCCTTTGGCGCATTGTGCTTGTTGAGATTCATCTTCATTGTCCGTGTCGTACTCGTACTTGTACGTCGCTTCTTCCTCGAAGTTTGTTGATCCTGTCCATTGTCTGTCAAGCTGTCTTGCTCCTGATTCCTGCCAATTGTCATGGATTGTGTATCCTCTTCCTTGTTCCGTTCTGTTCACGAATGTTGTCCGGGTAGGTTTGAGTCGTCCAATGTCTGGACCATCATCTGTCTGTTGTGGTACGTACATTGTTGTCCGTGCTTGTACGTGAGCTCGTTTCCAATAGTGTCCTTCTCTGATCCACTAGTCTGTTGTTGGTGTCATTGTTGATGGATCAGGTACTGCCGTGGTTGTTGGTGCTGGCTTCTTCGTTGTGTGTCTGTATAGTGGGTCTCTGCTGACCTGCCGTGCTGTCCCGTCTTGTTCCGGGAGTTGTATTGCTGTTGATTGTTGTCGCACTTGTGGTGCCTGTTGTGCTTTCTCTGTTTTCTCTGTTGTCTTCGATGTTGTTGTCACTGGTTGTGCTGGTGGCTTGTTCACTCTAAACCATGTCTCTCCTGTCCAAGTGTCTCCTTGTATCAGTCTTCGTTGTTCGTGCTTGCTCAAGTCATGGTATTGTTCAACAATGTCTTCGTTGTTCCCGACTGTTCGTCGAATGATTGTTCGTCTGTAGTTGCTCAATGTTTCCAGTGGTACTGGGCAATTGTCGCCAGGAACAAAGAGAGCTTCCTCTTGTTCCGGTGATACCGTACAAGGTATCCTTCATTGTTGTAGTTCCAATAGTTGCTATTGCCTCCAAGAACTTGTTGTGGTCCATGTCTTGTCAGTGTTGTTGGGGCAATCATTGCAATCATGCCCTTTTGTGTATGTCTCAGCTGTAGTTGTTGACGTTGTCCCAGGTTCATGACTGTTGCTGGCAAGTAGTAGAGGTTGTGCTGCTGCACCAAGGGAACATTGAATCCCTTGTCATGGCGCATTGTTGGAGTGTCGTTGAACCTGATGTCAAAGTCTTGTTCTGCCAGTCTTGTCACTGACAGGATTGGATCATGTATGTCACACACATAGAACGGTATGACAATTGGTTGTCCTTTTGATTGCATGTAGACCCATCTTACCCATAGCATTGTATTGTCTTGTTCGTCACTGTCCTGAGGTTTGGGCTTTGTGCTAGGTCAATCTTGTACACTGGATAGTTGTCTGCAAACCATAGTGGACAGACGTGTGTGGCTGCTCCACTGTCGATCATGATGTGCATAGTGTCTGTTGTGCCGCTACTTGTTGTACCTGTCTTGTAGTCATTGCCATTGTTGATCATGGCGATAACATGGATTGGTGTCATGTCATTGTTGCCGTTCGGAAGTGCCAATGGCTGTTGTCCTTGTTGTTGTCTCGTGTAGTCCTGAAAGTGCCATCCATTGTCATAGTAGTCGTCGTACCATTGTGCTGTCGCATCTTCAATGTCATTGCTTTCTCCTTGTCCAATGTTGTGTATTGCCACTCGGCAATCTTTGGCATAGTGTCCTGTTCTTCCACATCTGTAGCGTGTATCTGTTGCTTGTTTTCCTTTGTTCTTTCCCTTGCCTTTGTTGTATCCTTTGCTGAATCCTTTGTTTCCTTTGCTGCCTCTTCCGAATGGATTGCCAAAGCCGATCGGACTGTTGTTGTAGTTGTTGAATCCTTTTCCTCCATACTTTCCTTTTCCTTTGTGGTTGATGTTGTAGCTGTTGTAGCCGTAGCCGTTGTATCCTCCGTAGCCTTTGCCTTTGTTCTTTCCTTTTCCTTTCCCTTTTCCTTTGTAACTGTTGTACTTCCCTTTTCCTTTGTGGATTGCATCAATGTCCATAGGTGCTTGTCCTCCATCAAAGCTTGTTGCTACACTGGATGACTGTGATCGTAGTTGTTGTAGTTTGCTGAATGCTGTTGCTGATCTGTAGTACTCGATGATTGTTTGTTTGACTCGTGCATAGTTTGGGCTTTGTCCTGAAAGCAGTTGTAGGTGTTGTTGTAGTGGTCCGCTTGTCTCGTTGAGCAATACGGCAATCTTCACGGAGTCTGGGAGTGTTTGTCCATTGTCTCGCTCGAATCTTTGTAGCTCAAATTCCCATGTGGAAAATGATTCTTCAAAGTTGTTCTTGTCAAATGTTGGTTTCAACAATCTTGTCAAGTGTCCTATGGATCTTGTCCCCAATGGGATGGAGAAGCGGATGCACAGTTGTCGGTACATCTCGAAGCCAAGTGTGTGTTGGTATTGTCTGCATACTGTAGCTGCTGCTCCAGTTGTTGTGTTGATGAGGATGTACCTCAAATCAGTGCTGAGGCGAACATGTCGTTCACCGTCTTCGATTGTTGATGCCGCTGCTCGTAATTGTAGCTCTGTGAGTTCTGCTGTGCCTCGTTCTGCTGCTTGTAGTAGTTCTGTGTAATCATTGTCTTGCAATCCCATGTATGCTGTGAACTTGTACTTCCATTCCTCGAACGTGCCATAGTCTCCATTGAAGAAAGGTGGTTTGAGTTTGTATCTGTTCATGTTTGCCATGTTGGTGATTGTCTCGTCTTCTGGAACTGGAGGTAGGCCATCTCCAGCTTGAGCTGCTGCTGGTTGTGCTGCCATTGTTGCAGCTGTACAAGCTACCTGTTGTAGGGTCAAGGCTTGTTCTCCGTTGTCTGTGTTTGTGTGTCTGTTCCTGTGGTTGTATTGGAGCTCACCTGGATTGTTGTTACCAGGATCCTTGCTCCGCTACCATGTAAAATTCAGCAGCTGTTTTGTTTGTCGTTTGTTTGTGCACGTCTCTGTATTGTTTTCCCCTCTGGCAATTGTCCGTAGGCTCAAGCTAAGCTCAAGGCCTTTGATCCAAGGTGCATTGTATAGCACCATGCAATTGTACATCAACACTACGATGGAGTAAGTAAGCTATTGTGAAAAAGCTTGTCTCTTAACATCTGTGTCGACCACACATGTCTGAGATTTGAAACCATGGGGATTGCTGGCACAACATGCATTCAATCGCAGAAGTGGCTTTGTAAAGGGCAAAGGTAGGCCGCATCAAGTTTCGCCTACTGCTTTTATGCCGCTCAGACCCACTTACCGATGGGTGTACTCTGACATGGCGCATCTTTTTCGCTTGACCACCCTAGCAATCCAGGCTGCCTTTGGTCTCAATGTTTGGTTCTGTACCCCGTGGTAGGCAGTTCTCAGAGCGCCAAGCATTTCTCCTCACCTCGTTCGACATATCCAGATGTCTTATACCTCATTGGCAGAGCTGCTGGCAGCAAAAGCTGAGCCGTCGCCCAAGCCTTCCACACGATTTCCAACATGACTCTTGTTTGACCATGCCTCCTGCGTACAGCTTGAACTGATACAGGTTCTGTTACCGTTTGAACCCAAATAGGTGTTCCATGAGACGGTCTTTAAGGAGTGGCATTGGTGCAAGGGTCTGCTAAGGCTGAGAGTCTCCAGGTCTTTTTGCGAAACAGGCTGAAGCATCCCCGGTAGGTTTTCCCTTAAAGATTCTGAGACATGGAAGATCCTACCCCTGTAATTATAATTGACTTACCCACTTCCAATATGTTCAGAATACCTTCCGCGGGCTTCTTGTGGTGTGTGGGAAACTAATGAACATGAAGATCAACATCCACTCACGAACCGATCTTCACAATACTCTGCCGCAAGATCTCTTGAGTCCGAAGCAATCAATGTAGAGAACAACACTAGTAGTAACAAGTGCATCGCTACTAGCAACAGGTTGGGTGTCAAAATCTTTTGTCTCAAACCGAGCAACCGTATGAGGCCCTTCCTCGCCACGGGCAGCGAAGCGGTGGCGGAGCTCTTGGAGGCCTAGGAAGCTGGTTCTGGACCCTTCTGAAGGGCCATCCTAGTTGAAGATAACATATTTCCAATTTCAGACCTCTAACTGGCAGATCATGCCTGTAAGTCCTTACAGGGTTCCATCTGCCTTTCGTCTTGGAATGTGCTTTGGTCAAGTGTCCACGGTTGGTTACAGGATTTGGAGGGGAGGTGCACGGATAGCAAGGACCCCATTGACAGGGATTCTTCAAGTTGGTGATCCAATCAGCTGAAGAATCTTGCTGTTGCTCTTGGAGGAGGGCTGCATGCTCCCTCTTCGATGCCTTCCCTAGAACACGTCTTACTCTTTCTAGCTTGTAGCCGCTTGAGGGTTGGCAGCTGCTTATCTTAAAACGTTGTTGGTTTTGTGTGCGCATTCTTTTGTTGCATGCTCATGAAGCAACTCGGGGCCTCCCTTATCGGGTTGAGGAGGGCTAGAACTTGTAGGGAGGAATGTTTGCAAAAGATTCAAAAGTCAAGTTTTGTAGGGTTGCCCATCCAAGTGCCGCGTGTCTTTCTTGTCAACCACCGTTTTGGGCCCCTGGGCAATGCAGACAGCCGAACCGAACCTAATACCAAAATTGGTTCGGGGTGTTTCACCTTGAGCAGAGGGAGCAGGTATCAACCGCAAGGCTTGAAGACTGAGGTAGCGAAACCGATCTTTTAGGGTCAGTGACGTATGGTATATGTTCCGTGTCATGAAGAATGTCTGCGCTCCTCTTTTGCCAAGAAGCAGGCCATGACCTGTGTTGGCTTCAGTGTGTATTGAAATTGGGAGACCTCCCAACGAACCTTGGGAGTGGGAAACATCAACAAAAAAGCAGCAGTTGGAGGGTCTTCCGAGTCTTCCTATTCTGATGACACACCCTCTTTGGCCATCCCAATGGCGCCATTTGCGCCCGTAAGGCCATGGTGAATGGATCCATTCAGCTTGACACCATCCCGGGGCGTGGCTTGGATTTTGTCCTGAAGAATGGATTGGTGGATTGGAGCGGTTTCCTGGTGTTTTGCTCTAAGTTGCCAGACCTGAGTTACTAAACTAGACGGTGATGCACAAAGCAGCAAACATACACTGGCGCACAGTGCAATCCACTCTTTGGTGGACTCGCATTGTCGTAGTCGAGTTGGAGGCAAGACCCTTGTAGCGACAGCTTTGTCCCATTGGTCATCCAACTGCCTTTTGCAGAAGTCCATGCCCCAGTCTCGAGCCAGAGGCCTTTTGTTCTGGGAGGTTTGTCAGTGCTGGGTCATCAAATTGCCTTTGTTTCTGCGTGAGCAACTTTAGCCCTTAAGAGCTGGTTGCCCCAGTGCGTACCCCCATGCCTGGTAGCTGCGCTTGTAGCTATTCGTGCACTGCAATTGCTTTGCATTGCTTCTCTGTGATGTCTTCTGCTTTTCTTGCTTATCCTGGTCATTTTTTAAAGGCTGTCTTGCTTCTCGTTGCTTTTCTGCTTCTTGTCTTGTTGTGGTGCGGTGTATTGTTTCCTTTCTTTAACTGCATTTACTTTCCATTCCATGGCCTTTGTTGCCGTTGCCTTTTATTTTGTTGCTTTTTAAGCCTTGAGTTTGTCTTGCTGTCTGGCTTTCTATACTTTTCCTACCATTGTTGTTTGTTTTTTGCTCTACTGGTTGTTGTCTTTTCTCTCTTTCGTTGCTTCTGTGGGTTTTGAACGTTCTTTGCATTACTTGGTGTATTCGATCGATAAGGGAGTAAATAATGAAAGAGCTTTGTTCATAATATGATGCACTTGGGTTGCCCCTTAAGGTGAAACACACACTTGTCTCATAGTTGTTCGCCCTGTGGCTTACTTTTTTTGGCCTGCCTTGTGGATGACCTTTCTTCTAGAAACAGGTAGCTTTCCACTTCCACGGGAGGCACCGCAGCCGCAAAAAATTATCAAACGACACAAAACAAAACACATATCCACATTTCAATAAAGCCGCAACCTTTATCCGATGCGAACCTTTGTAGCTCACCTTCCTGTGAAGACCGGGGTGCAGGTGATGGAATGATTGGAATTGATCGGGGTGCAGGTGATGGAATTATTGGAACCGATCTGAGGATTACTGAAAGTCTTTCGCAAAGCGCCTTTTGCTACGGCCTGGAGGCTCAGCCAAGTAATGTGCAACCAGCAAGGACGTGCTGCTGTCACGGATGCAGCTTTGTAGGGATTGGTCAGATAGGTTTCATCCAGCTTTGTAGTTCATTTGTGCCATTTATGCATGGAAACTCTCTTTAGCCAGCGTTGTGTGCTATCAAAAACTAAGAGTTCTTTGAGAGAGATCAGAATCATCAGATGTGCACATGATGTAGCAATGCTGGTATGAGGGAGGTTGGCGGAACTCTCGCAACACCCACACCGGCTTCTGACCTTGCTTGACTGAACCGAACTTCACACCCAATTGATTCAGTACGATGGCGGTTCAATAGCAGCTTCAGACAGAAGATCAAGAACGCCTGTAGCTTCCCTCAAACAACCCCTAGTGAGAAATCAAACAGCTTATATAGTGTCCATGCTTCTGAGTATATGAAAAAAACGTTAAAACTTCTGATTGTGAGAAAGGTTCGACCGATGTTCTTCCACAATATAACATAACATAAGTATCATGACATCACAATCAATCTACCAAAGTCTGGTCCTTGAGGATATAGACTGCGATACTCTATACAAAGCCTAGCCGCTTTTGCACCACGCCTCGAATCGGAGCGGGAGGGGAAGGGTTATCCAACAGGGATTGTATTTCTATTCTACGATTCTACCTTACTTTCCCCACCATTTGTCCATGTCTTCCGATTGATTTCCCAGCCGTTCTGCGTCATTGCACATTGTCGTGTACAACCCAGGCTGCTGCGATCATTGCCGGGTTGGGAGAGAAGGGCCTTGAGGGAGAGGAGATGCAGGAGAGCCGGGTCTGGCCGGGTCTGGACGATTGCGATGCGAGGCGTTAGGGGCCTCATTGGTGGAGGTTTACTTGTGGCCTCAAATGAGCCATACTGGGCTAATGCAACCCAATCTTCCTTTGTGCCAGTCACTCGTGTCACAAAGTCCTGAGCATTTCAACTGAAAGAGAGCCATGATCTGCACCCCCTGACAACCTTAAACACCACTGACTCCTGCAGAAAAGGCGTGTGCCAAGTCCTTGGTGGCCAGCCGTGAAGCTCTGGAGGCATAGCAAAGAGTTCGGGGGCAGCTGTGGTTTTTGAGGACTTGAAAGTATATAATATAGACATATATATATATATATATACAGATTTAAGACTTACCCGCAAAAGGCTTTTGGGTGATTTTTACGAGTCCAAGGCCTTTCGCACTTTGAGGCTGGCCATGCGTGGAAATTTCTGGCTTTGTGGCTGTGGGGAAAGTCATGTGGAATGGTAACTATCGAAGTTGTATCGTCATACGTACAAAGAACAAAAGGGACAAGCGCATTTTATAAACATCATATACTGTATATACACATCGACACACTTGTATATGGTATTGCCTGGGATCCCCTAGTTTGTAGTTGCCGTTGTTTGCAGTGTTGTCAGCTGATCTTTGGTCCTTAATTTCTGGAGTACTTTTGAATACTGTATGACATTCATGTTCATGTTGGAAGGGCACTCTCAATACATATTATACACACATCATATGCATGGCACTGAGATAAGTCATTTACTTTTGATATCTATCTCTCTATATATCTATATCTTATATATATATATATCTGTCATTTATTGTTTTTTGCAGAAGAGCCACAAGATGAATGGCAACCTGCCGTGCGACAAGTGAGAAAACACCCAATTCCAGCAGACTATGAAGTGCCTTTCTGTCCTTCAGGACTAGCCAGTAGAGTTCTTCGACGAGGACCAGACTTCTCAAATGCGACTAGACGAGAACGTGCATGTAGAAGCTACAACACCAAGAAGCTGTCCTCCCTGCGGATTTCAATCAGGACCTTCGTGGGTAGCACAAGTCAAAGACAGCCGTCCTGTTTTTGATCCAATGACACAGCCGCAGTGACCGTTGAGATAGACATGCCACCAACCCATGCAGCTTCAGAAAGAGCTTTGCAGAACCTCAGTTGGTGCCGGCGAAGGGAAGAACAATAGAAGCTGAGAAACATGGCAGAAGAAGAAGAAGAACAACGGCAAGGGCAATTGAGGTCTCCAACTTCGTTGCAGCAAGAGCACTTGGAGCTCTTTTATCAAGCAAGAAAAGGATCCTCATCTGGAAAAGTCTACCTGGTGGTGGTACAAGAGCAAAAGCTACTGTAGAGCCGTACTTCTTGGGTATCAAGACTCACGTACAGCATCACAACCACAACCAAGCAAACACATCAGATACAGATACAATTGACGATTGCCGCAGCACGTGGTTTGCGGAAGGGTGACGTTTCCCGAGCTTTCATCCTTGCTCTCGTGAATATGCAGATGAGCTTTTGTGTACACGATGCGCAGACATTCACAAAAGTACGCAAAGCGTCCTATGGTCTAGTGGACACGCCAATAGAATGGCACCATTCCATCAGTGAAGGCTTTTCCTTCCACCAGCTTGGCCTCCGCAGGTGCTGTTCAAATCCCTGTTGCTGGACCCCTCATGGTTGAGGGTCAACTCCAAGGAATCATTTCTGGACATGTGGATGACTTCGTCTTCTCAGGACATGAAGTAAACAAGGAATGGAATACATTGTTGGAGAACATCCTCAACAAGTACAACTTATTCTACCGGAAAAGTCGAAGCTTTGCGTTGTGCCAGGTGAAGGTAGAAAGACGCGAAGGCGGAACCTATGCCCTGTCACTAAAGTCATACATTGAAGAACTGAACTGTCAACATACATCAACATACAAATGAAAGCCAAACACAGTCCAACCGATGATTGGGGGAAGGGACAACTTCGAACGTTGGACGTCGTTAGGTGGTTTCCGCAACAAAGAGCGCCACATTTTCGGTAGGAACTTGCATTGTGCAAACAAGTTGATGTGCCAGGTTAGATCCATGAAAGACCGTAAGTTTGATCATCCCCAAGATGGATTCGGAGAAGATGGGGGTATGTTTGTGTGGTGTGATGCTGCGAGCCAAAACCGGGTTGATGGTGGTGGCACTCAAAGATTCTTGATTGGAGCCTCTCAAATGAACATGTTTGAAGGGAACCATTCATTCCTATGAGACGGGTGCAGTAGCCCTCAATTTGTCCGTTCAACTCAATGGGTGTATGTTGTTAATATATATATATATACAGATACATATATATATATATAATTATAGATGGAGGAAAGCAGGGTGCAAACTTGCGGGCAAACAGTGCCATACTTCTACGTAGCTACTTTTGATGTGGAAAAGCCAGGTCTCGAGTCTGAACCCATGTCCCTGCAATACGATATACATACCTGACATACCCGAAGGGAACTTGGCTCCAGTGACCTCTGCAGGCCTTGCAACCTGAGCAGCTGCTGCGGCTCACAGTGGCCGCAACCAAGTCGGAGCCAGTGGCCAAGGAGGTGGGACTGTAGCTGTTTGATGGGTTAATTTGGCCGGAAACACATGACTCGCATTGATGCATCTGGTTATTCCTAACACAAGCCCTGTGGTTTTGATTGAGGGTGCTCACCGGCGTGAGCAGCTACTCCCATTTGCACCACTCTGCCGCTCGGGAGTCCTCGCGGCTTTGGTGGTCTGGAGTTGACTTGTCGTGGCAGGTGCAGGAGATCGGAGCATATCGGAGCCGTTTTACTTCGTTGTGCAACAAATTATCAACTGTAGACCGTTTTAGAAGCAACATGGTCTACGAAAGATTGGTTTAAGGGCAACATGGTGACCGAAAGGCCGCTTCAAAGGCACAAATTGTCTACAAAGAAAAGACCCTTTTAAGGCAAACATGCTCTCATATGTCACATGCGTGTTGTCAAGTGTTTGCTCATATGTGCGCTCTCAGTGTGTATGCTCATGTGTGCTCTCATGTTTGTGTTCTGTAAAGTGTGCTCTCATATTTGTGCTCTTATACGTGTGGTCTGATGTGTGCGTGTGCGTGCTCCCATTTGTGTGATCTGATACGCGTTCTCTCATGTGGGTGCTCTAGAGTGCCGAAGACTCACCCCTTTTCTTGTTCTACTTAGCACTGTTTGGCCCCTTGCCGGTTGATGCTCGAGCGAACGAGGAAGTGGGGAATCTTTGAGTTGAACCAACATGTATCTTACCAGATGATGACTATGACTATGAGCTGCCTTTTTGTTTTGGGGGATACCCCCCTTTGAGTCTGGTTGGAAGAAGGACCCGGGACAAACCAGTGGACTGGTTTGCACTGAGAGGGATCTGTATCGCTGACTTTCCAAGGTTCCTGACTTCAATTCTCATGGGCAGATCCGAGGGATTCTTAGGAACTAGCTGCGTTGCACGGACGTAGTGGTACGTACTGCATACGGTAGTACATAATATTATATATATATTCTTTAATAATCTTTGATATTTGTCAAAAACAGTTGGCGGAAGACATTCCCAGTATTTAGTCTTCTTTGCCACCTGTTTCTATATTGGTGTGGTCAGGGCAAGTAGGTGAGGCTAATAGAAGAGGAATGCCGTTCTGAATTCCAACTCCAAGAAACGACCTACATTGATGCCACAATGCCATTTGTAGAAGACACTCCCAGCCTATGTTGCAGGTTGAGCTCTTACGGCACCAATTTTAATCTATTTTTGAAAGGCCCACTGGCAGAGCTGATGATCCATGTCACAATTCTGGCGAACTTCGCCTCACGATGGTAAATGACCTTGCAGCGATGCAGAGGATTCGTGTGTGAAAACCACTTATTGCTGATTTCAGGTGGGTGAACCCCACTGGGTGAGACACGGTCGAACCAGGCTTTGGATGCAGTGGCATCTGCTGTTCCTTGGACAGATATGCTGCACCCAGGATTTTTTTGCTATCTTGTGTGGGGAAGGCATCATTATGCACGAAATACTTCCTAGACAGATCTTGATCGTGCGACCTTGGTTTTCTTCAAACAATGATTGTACAGCCAAAACTCACTCAACTTTTCTGCCGAAAAGGCGTTCGTGCCTCTTTCATATTGGAATATCACTGGGCCCCCGCGAGGGATTCATTTCTGCATGAGCCCCTGCTCCTTGATAGCAAAACAGTTTCTCAGAAGTATTTGACAGGCTGGATCACTCAACACAGCGGAGTTATATATATATATACAGTTAAACCGGCTAAACATTCCTCCACCATGCTTTGGACAGATGGTTTTTACTTCCACCAGAGGTGCCTTACAGTTGAGTGAGAAGCTCCAAACAAACTTGCGGGACGACATGCCTTTGCCACTGTATAAGGGAATCAGCCCAGTCCCATCCCGAATCAACCCAGTCCCATCCTGAAGCCATCTCTGAACCACTATCTGGGGAGCTGCTCGTGGAGACGTGAGGCCGCCTTGGTCTTGAATGCATTTAGCTTGGAGGACAGCAGCATGAGTAATCATCATCTTTGAGGTGAAGAGTGGTGCGGGTCAATGCTTTGCTTTGGGTACTCATGTCACAAGCGATAGTTCAGCAGTTCTCCTTCCTTCCTTCCTTCCTTCCTTCCCTCCCTGATGCCCGCTTGATCTTGAAGGATGTATGTTGCGCCCAGGGCACACATTTCTGAATCTGCAGGCTCTTGAGCGACATCCCTTTTAATTCCACATCATCTTTCCCTGTGGATCATCATGCTTTGATTGATCAAAGAGTTGACTATGCACGCAGTGTTCTGCTTCCCACCAGGTGACAGGCCTCATTGACAATGTTCGGCAACCCTGCGAGAGGATGCTTCCAAGCTTCTGCTTGCAGTGGCCAAGGCTAAAGCAGGTGCAGGCGCTGAGTCAAGACCTTTTCCGCCCCCTAACTGGTCATTGCCAATCTGTAAAAGGCAGGCGTGCATCCCAAAGCCTTTGGCTTTGAGCTCTCAAAGTGAAGCGTCAAATGGATGCATTACGTATATAAAGCCATCCTTGGCCACCGATTTGCGTGGGAATTTGAGAGAAATGCTGGAGCGAGTTGGCGGATAAAGAGATTGCGGTGGGTGTTGAGATGCTCTCAACTTTTCATTAAGCCAAGCTTGATTTTTTTTCCGCATTGTTTGGACCATTTTTTGCAAGATTCACTCCCAATTCATATCTGGTCGCTTGGCAACATTTTCTTTCCACCCTTCGGAGGCTCAGGGGTTCAAGAGCTTTATGAGCGGGCAGCGGAGGCTGGAATGGGGTGCCATCGTTCCACGGATTCGTTTGGACGGCCGATGAAGCCGACTCGGTGGCCCCCTTTTGGACATTTGCTGAGTGGGTCTTATGTATTGAACACCTCAAGGAAGCACTGTGGCGTTCTCAAGGAACTGGAGTTTCTTTCCAGTAGTGTTTTGCTTTTGCTTCTGTTTTTTTGTTTTGCTTTTGCTTTTGCCTGCTTTGTTTTGTGCTTGCCCTGCTTATGTTTTGCTTCTGCTGGCGGTCGCCTTTTGATGGCTTCTGGTGGAGAGAGCATTTTTTTTGTTTTCTATTTTAATGTTTTTTGTTCCCCCCGAGGGTTTGCAGAGGAAGGGGTCATTCCATGGCATGCGTTTTGTGAGTGTAGAGGAGGAAGGGGTCATTCCGATGCAGCAGGCTTCCAAAACACTCCCGGAAAAGGTTCCCAAAACTGTCCGGAAAAACTCACACGCAACCAGGCAAGCAAGGAAGCAAGCAAGGCCTGAAGAAGCCCTAAAAAGAAATGACACCCGAGGCCCACCCCAAAGAAGCCCTAAAGAAGTGAAACTCTAAGTCAAGCCCAAAGAAATCCAAAAGATCATCCCTATCTCCTGTTTGCTCCTCTCCTTTGCCTTCTCGGGCCTTCCCTTCCTCCCTCCCTCCCTCCCGCCCTCCCTCCCTCCCTTCGTTCCTCGCGGTCTCTCTTTTTCCTAATTTTTTTTGCAAATTTTTTGCTGCTCCTTCTGCTTCTAAAACACTCCGGAAAAATACCACAAATGGCAGGACTAAACGTCACACAATAAATCTTCACCCTCTCGTCTCAGGGCGAGGGTAGAAAGGACCCGGCATGCTAGACTGCTAGACTGCTTCTATGCTACTTCGAGATGAATCCCCAACTTGGGTCTTGAACCAGGGTGCCAATCTACACCTTGACTTGGGAGCCTTACCTACCAACAGGGAAAACTCGGGCGATGTGTCAGGCGGTGTTCCGGTGATTTGCAACACTGATCCTTGACTCTTTCCATCCTCGATCAGTCCAAGACACGTGAACTCGCTTCGCGAATCGTACAATCAGAGCCAGTCGTTTCACTACACGTCGCAAGCTGTGCTGGGAAGATTTATGACTCCCTACTTGACAGGGCTTTAACCTAGTCCCTGTGATGTGTGGGTCTTGAAATCTGCAACATGAGATGCAGATATGAGGATGTGCCAAAGTTACTTGCCGGAAGTGTAGGGTTGACATTGGAGGGCATGATGAGCCCCGTATCTTTCCAATGTCCTTTCAAGGAACACCCTCATTAGGCAATTCTTACATCAGCAGTTTTACACCTGGATTGAGTAATGATCTTTTTCTCACGTGAGACACGTTCCTTACTCAACACATGAACAGTTTCTACACCCGCCTTTTCCATGCATCACATCACCTGGAAGCGCGAGGTGATTCCGCCCAAGCTCTCGGAGCTCTCCTCCGGGCAGCTCATCAAGGTGGACCGCTTGGGTGGGCGGACAGGTCATCCACCCAAAATACACTCAATTCAATACCAAAACCTAAGAGTGATGGCCTCGTTCTTTCGTTATTCAGATACCCCGGTGCTGGGTGTTGGAGACACGTGGAATGTTGACAGGCCGTACAGCTTTGACGATTGAGTACAGTACAGTGTTGCTGCGACGTTGCAGTGCCAGACTTTTGCTGTGATACGCCAGGTACAGGTTGAGGGGGCGGTGCATGTACCCTTCTGTTACTGGTAGAAACCTGTTGGTACCTGCCAATGATACACGCAGTCTCCAAGGGAACTATTTCACAGCCAGGGATGTCAGACAGGTTGGACAAAGCGTGTCCAAAACCAACAACATGGATCCGAAGACTATATACCATCACTTGGGGCAAAGCCTTGTGTTCAGATAACATCCTTTCGTTGACATACTGAAGCCGCCCCTGAATTCCTGCAAGATGCACCCCAACTGATTAGCAAAGGTCAGTGGGCAACCCATTTTGATGGTCGATGACCTCAACAGACCGAAAGCGGCAGGTGGTCTTGGCGGTCACCAAGGTGGAAGCATGTAGACCCCTGCTGGAGACAGCAGCGCAGGCAGCTGTCGCCAGGCAGGGTCCCGTCTTCAGATTGATGAGAGATATTTTGTCCACGAGAGGACTCTGTGACCTGTGGAATTGGAGTTTGACCCATAGCTTGGGACTAGACTCCAGAGACTCTAGACTAGATATGTGTAAAAGTGCAGAAGGCTACTGGCCTTGTTGCATTCATGCAGGAAGTGCTTCCTTCGGTCTATATTCTTGAACAAAAGCGATGCTGCTTCGCAGGGATTTGGGAGTTTGATTCAAGGTGCCCGACCCACCACAATTTCCTGAAAATCTAGGAACCAAATGAATGGTGCGAGCGCTTCTTCAAGGAAGCTGGGCGGCGGGGGGGAGTTTCCTTGAAGAAGCGTGAGCTATCCTGCATCCAGTTACTAGTAGCGTCCTACTTCACAGCTACTAAGTGGCTTACCTCTTCTTAGTGGCCTACCGGGCTACTGTACATTAAAGAAAAGATGCAAACCAGAAAGAAGAAAGAAAGCTGACCAGGAAGTCGGGCGGCCCTGAAGATCGGTCAGGACTGCCGATGTCTCTGTTTTCATCGCAACCGGCAGGGTGGGAGATGTCCAGCCCTCCCAGATGATGTTGCTAATGCAGGGGCTGCTTCCTTTGGGCTCGGCACTTGGACACCGAAGCGGTCTGTCTGTTTTTTCGTGGGTCGTTTGCTATTAGGTTGGAGGCCATCGCTATTGCTGTAGGTTGGAGGCCATCGCTATTACTGTAGATAGGAGGCCATCGCTATTTGTTTTCTTTTCGTGGGCAGAGTTGTACTGGTCCGAAAGCAGGATACTTAGGTGGGACCAGGCTCGGCTTTTGCACTTATATATAACGGGGATGATCCCAACGTTGTCACATGTGCAGTCTCACTCACAGTCTAGCTCCTGCTACACAGGTGGAGAGCATCCAGCATTGAACAAGATCGCAGACAACTGGGCAGCAAGTGACTTGCAGGCAGCTGAAAAACTTGTGCACGATACCTTACTTACTAGTAAATTCCTAGATGAACACTGACATGAACCACTCCTTCAAATAAGTGGGAAAGCAAAAAAATCCATGATCTATACGGAGTATTACCATATTAGCTAGTCCACCCACATGTTTCTGAGTCCCCATAGACAACTAGCATTGGTTTCTTAAACCGGCCCACACACAACTCTTTCAAGTTTTTTCTATCTATTGGTATGTGGCAGAAAGGCACGCAAGCACATACGTAGGTGTGTTGAAGGTTACATGCAAGGGCCTATGTCTATACATACATATGCATCCAACCAGACCTTGCAATGAAACAGTAAATTGGGCCAAACACATGTTGTTTTCAGCAATTGTGCGGTCGAGGAGTCCAGCAATTGTGCGGTACTAACAGTGAAGGACGCGTCCCATCACGACGCCTCGGGACAGACGACCCAAAGAGGTCTGCCCAAAAGAGGTCTGCACAACGACGGGTTTTTGAGAGCGCACCATTTGCGCGATGAAGCCTGAGGCTTCTATGAAGCCACACGGCTCCTTGCCATCATGTGGTTTGGTCGTCCTCAGTCGTGGAAGCGGTCGACCTTTTTTGGACTGTGGTGATGAATTGAATTGTTTGCCTAAGGCCTAAGGCGGCTAAACACATCTATTTTCGCTGGCCTCAAGTCTTCTGGCCAAGGGAGTGTTTGCCGTTCAGTGGCTTGTAGTTGTAATACCAAACGCATAGGCAGAGCGGTATGTGGGTGAGTCGCAGGGTATATAATATTTATCTTAGAAGTGCATTCCCAACATTCTTCCAGGAAAGCAGTGAAACGAGAACTTTTTCTATAGATCACGCCACCATTCGGCAGGAAAGCTTCAGAAGATCGGCATAAGATGTTGTTTCGGCATATGATATGCCGCATATCATATTTCGGAAAGGTGGCAGTTGGATCAATCTGGGAACCAAATCATTCGCGTGAGCTGTCCTGCGTCCATGTGTAGTAGCTTAAGGAGCTAGGAGCTTACTCCCGTAATTAAGTAAGCGCCTGCCTAATTAAGTAAAGGCGGGCAAAAAAACAAAACCCTTAACCCTAAAAGTAATATATATAATACTTTTCTTTTTTTTGTGGTCCAGTGGTGTTTGAACCAGTGCCCAGTCAGTCCGCTGCCGCTCTAATTTCGTGCGGCCAAACACCGGGCGAGTTTCGAACAATGACTCTTCTTTAAATGCCCGGCTCTACTGTTGATTTGAAGTGCACCTTTAGCGTTACCCGTAAGATTGAAGAAATTTGGTATTACACTGTATCTTCTGGAGGAGTGCCTTAAATTCATGGATTACAAGAAAAACATGCTCCGCATACTCGCATTGGTGTTTTCAAAAGGGAGGGGTATTTATTTTTGGATTTTTTTTTGTTTCTTTTTTGGATTTTTTTTTGGTTTTTCGTGGCTTCTGGCTTCTGGCTTCTGTGGCTTTTGGCTTTTTGGCCTATCCATCTATCTGTCTATACCTATCTATTTATCTATCTATCTTTCTTTCTTTCTTTCTTTTGGCAGCTGTTCTCCTTTCTCTTTTTGTATTTGCTTTTCCTGTTGTTTTCGTTGCAGAGACGAAACCAAACAAGGAAGCAAGCAAGCAAGCAAGCAAGCACGAGCTGCTCACCTTTGGATCTGGTGTGCTGCTGGGGGGGGCGCTGCGCCCCCCCCCCAACCCCCCCGCGCCACGAAATCTGCACTTCATCCCCGACACCCGCGCCTGCCACGAAATCAACATTTTAAGGTGAACTCCCCGGTGCAAAACTTTCTAAGCAAGCAAATATGCCTCCTCTATCTATCTATCTATCTATTTATCTTTCTATCTTTCTGCAGTTCAACATCCACAAAGTACTGCACCTGCCACGAAATCTGCATTTCAAGGTCCACAAAGTCTTGTGCCTGCCACGAAATCTGCACTCCAAGGTCCACAAAGTCCTGCACCTGCCACCAACTCTACACTTCCACACCCACAAAGTCCTGCATCTGCCACGAAATCTGCACTTCAAGGTCCACAAAGTCCTGCGCCTGCCACAAACTCTGCACTCCAAGGCCCACGAAGTCCTGCACCTGCCACGAAATGTGCTTTGCAAGGTCCACAAAGTACTGCACCTGCCACGAAACACGAAAAGCAAAAAATTAACAAAAAAACACGAAAAAAATCCAGAAATAAATTCGCAACCTTTCAAAAGTAGTTTGCTTGGTGCCCCTCGAGCGTCGTTATGAAGCCCGAAGACGCAGAAAATGTGCTGAATATGTGCTGAGAAAGCGGCCTCAAAAACCTTTCAGTTTGACGAATCTCGTTCTTTAGTCCTTGATAGTCCTTATGCAACAATCCCTGCGACTTGAGAGGTTCAGGATTTTGCCAGGGAGGGGAGTTCCCCGCTGAACAATCGCACTTGCATTGAGCTTTGGGAATCCAACGAAACGATTCAACAATCCAAATCTGCATAATTCATCCAACTTCCGCTGGTGCTGCAATTTGCTAGATGTTCCCTGCCTCGGCTTTGAGTTACAGTGGCAATAAGTGGGGTCGGCCAAACCTTTCCTGCTCCTTGGTTTCAACAGGCAGGATTTAAACCTTCAGTTGCTTGCCGTTTAATCTGCTAAGTAAGTACTGCCGGGTCTTATTAATGTTGCGGTGCTGGTCTTGGCTTTTGGCGTGCTCACATCCAGCTTTGCATAGACGAAGCTGGAAGGATTGGAGGTATTTGATATCTCGGAAGTTCTGAGTGACAAATGTTTGTTCTGGGCTTCAAGGAACTTCAAGGAACACAGGACAAGTGGAAAATCTGGGAGTGTCAAGACTTTGTGGAATTGTTGAAAGAGAGCGTGCCAATTCCATTTGAGGCTGGAGGGTCTGCTGGGACCTGATCAAATTGAAACCAGACGTAAAGAGCTGGAAAGCAAAGGCCCTTGGGAGAAGTGGCAAGGGGATGAGGGCGATGGGACCATGAGAATCATTAGAAAGCATGTGCTGCAATCCCTTTCGTGCGAAGGCCGGGACCATCCAGCACGTCAGGGAGTGCATTCTATGACCATCCCCTCCTGCCATCACCAACTCCGTGGATTGAGAATCCCAAATGGATAGATCCACTAGCACCCCCGAGTAGCAGCAGTTGTGCGGAAGAAGGGTTTCTCGGAGGGCTGATCATCGCCAGTTGTGTTGATGAAGCGCCGGCAGGTCAGCTGTCAGCTGATCAGGTGTCCAAGCTGGCACTGGCGGGGTCCCAAGCGATTGGCGGCATGAGCAGCTTGCATCGTTTCGATTGGCTCCTATGGCAGATCCCTGCAATGCAAGACACTTTTAGGTTTGGGGCTTACCATTATGCTACCAATGAGATATTAATGGCATTCCTACTCTACATGGCATCTTACCTGTTTCTCATCGTCTCAGCCGGTGGATGACTTGGGAGGGTACCTAGAAGAGTGACTTGGGAGTAAAACGAAAGCAGCTTTGCAACGGCACTGGATGGCGCGGTGGAGATTCGGCCAAGCGGCCGCCAACCTCACGATTTGAGACCAAGAGTGCGATGATTTGTGTCCATTCATGTTTCATCGTGTTTCAGACAAACGTGTCACTTGGGTCGATGACCCCTGCCAAGATGGAACAGATCTTTTGCCTTTCTTCTTTTGAACATTTTCTAAAGAAATTTTCTTTTTAAAGACCTTTCTTTTAAAGACCATTCCGAAATGTCTAATGGTTCAGAGGCTTTGGAGGTTCAGCGTGGTTCACCTGTCGCTGGATCGGGTCACTCGATGCGCCTCCAGATGGTGGCTCCTGTGATGCCAAAGCACCAATCCTTCTGGAACGCTGCTTGGCCGACAAGGTGAAGGGGATGAAGGGTCTACCTCATCTGCCAGCATTCTGTTTTGAGAAGCTGGCCCTGTGGATATAAAGACGGACTCTGTAACAGCGACGACCATGAGGACACAATGAGAACTCGCTGTTGTTATCTTTGCAAGCACATATGCCTACGTCTATGTCATTCACAGACGTTTTTTTAGCCCAGAGGAGGAGGCAGCTGACCCACCGGATTTCCCATCTTTGGCCTCTCCAACTGGCCGCCGCTCCAAGACACTCCACAGGCCCCCAGTCCACTCAATGCCCAGGCTTTCGGGAAGCGCCTCAGGGAAATGCCTGAGGATTTAAGCGATGTCGGCATCGCCAACCTGCGACCCGGCATGGAAGGATGAAGAGTTGGAGATGGCTCAGACTTGGATGCCTGAAGGAATTTTTCGGGCGCAACAGATTCGCCTTCGAGGTCGGCTCGTTGAGGTTCTGAGCATTTCGCTAGGATTTGGGGTCACACCAAAGTTCAGAGTCGCATGACTGACTATGCAGAAGAAGGCTCTTCTAGGAAAGATCTAGTAGCAGAGGATTGCATCCATATTATTCGGCAGTGGAGTTAAACTCCAGACACTTGGTGAACGTTTTGAAGAGAACAATCATTGGGATGTTTGCCGGTCGTCTAGTGTTCACAGCCAAGCTGAATGGAGTTTTGAAAGAGCTTACTCTGATGGAGCAACATGTTCAAATCGAGCCAACTCCCTGGATCTTCGGAAGAGCTGTTTATTGCTGTTCCACCAGACATGAGAAGATTGCAGTGCCATTCTCAAAATCTGCAACCCATCTCTCAGGAAACTGGCGTTTCCGGAAGGAGTGGGCAGGCCCAGCGCTGTGGCACTGGTGCCGAGCCGCAAAACACTACTGTACAACGCACGGTGGCTAGTGGAGCGGTCAAGATCCCCACAGGGTTCCATGATCATGTCTGTAAAAGTGGAACGCCCGCCACCGCTCGGTTTTGACGCTGGGTCTAGAGTCCTTTTGGGGTCTGAGATCAGCCTACAGGCTCTTCAGCGTTCGGATTTTAGGCGATGCCGACAAGCACTGAAGGCCGCTGAATACGGCAAGGTGATCTCGTTATATATGTATATATATATATATTTACCAGGCTACCGCCTGCAGCCGCCGACCCCCAAGGGATAGAGCCTAGCTAGCCTTAACGCCTTAACCTTAGCCCAGCCTTAGCCTGAAACGGTGCCTTAGCCTTAGACCGCCCCTACCTGTCTGGACCCGGGTAGGAGTTCTCCAATTTTCTTCCATGGTTGTAGAATTATCTAGCATGTCCTCTTGCATGTAGGTTCCCTGACTTGCTCAAAAATTGATGAAGTTGTTTTTAATCCCGGCCAATGCCCTGGAATTTTCCCAGGAATGCTCTAGGCTTTGTGTAGATTTTGCGCTGGACGAGATCCGGCCAGTGCCCGCGGTAACGCGAAAGGCTCTGCATGGTAAGATTTTCGCATGCCTGTCAGGCGCCCGTGTCCGCGCCATGTGGCGCGTTGGTTCTAGGACGAAGCTGCGCAAACGGAAGCTCGGGGAGGTGATGGCGAGCTTCTCGCGCCAGCCAGGGAAGAGACCGTAGCCATGTACACGCGGGCGACACGCGCGCGTGGCCGAATGTCTGCAGTGCGGTAGGCGGGACGGGAGGGAGGGACGGAAGGGTGTGGAAGCGGGTGGTTCCACGGTAGGAGGAAGGACGTTGCCGTGGATGTGGGGAGGGTAGGATTTCCTGGAGCACCCCTTGAGCCAAATGCAGGAGTTGAGAAGAGCCCCTGTCACCCAAGTTGTCGGGTGAGAGGCAGCCGGTGTTTGTGTTGTGCGTTTCCTGCGGGAGAAGTGTGCTGCCCATGGTGTTTGCTAGGTCGCGTCAGCCAGCGGGGGCGTTGCCCATGTATGTCCCCTTATGCAGGCCTGTCTGTGTGTGTTTAGGTGATGTGACAGTCCCCGGACTGTCTCTGTTTTTTCACGAGAATCCTGTCGTTGTCGAAGGGGCGCCGTGTTGTTCTTTTAGGTTACACGTCCGTGCCCCTGGACATCATAGTTTTTTTGAAACCACTATAGGTTGTTCACATGTCATGGTAGCACCCGCTTCGCAGTCTGTGGGCGGTCGTCTGTTTCCCCTAGCGAGGTCCATCGATGTCCCCCCGTGCAGGTACTATCTATCCGGCCAAGCCGCAGAAGCAGGCGACGCAGGACGCGTAGTGTGCTGCGTGCCGTGGCGGAGCAGGGCGCTGCCCATGGTGTAGGGTATTGTTGTGTTGACGGCGCAAAGCAAGAACATGGGTGAGCAATTTTCAGGGCCAAGCCGGGAACCCCAAACAACCTTTAACATCATAACGGCCATGCTTGTGTTTCGGGTTCCCTCGCTCTCACAAAAACATGCCAATGCATTTGCCGTGCTCGGTTCTGTGTACTTTGGGAGCCCGGGGAGTGAAGATGTTGCCCCCCCCCTGGCCAGGGATCAAAACCGGATCCCGCAAAGGAGGTCGGGGACCTAGGATGTAGGAAAGCTCTAGGCTTTGTTTATTCGGCAGGGTGCTTGTGCTGCTTGTAACCACCACGGGTAGGTTTCGTGGCAAAGCTTCGCGGGAGAAGGGCGCTGCCCATGGTGTTCCCCCGCGCAGTCCATGGAAACTAGTCCATGGAAACCTGCTCGGTCTAGTTGTCGTAGGCGGAGGACGCCGGCGCGCAGTGTTTTGGCAGGCTGGCGGAAGCCGACGGCTGCCGGAGCAGGACGAGGCGCGCAAGGGGGTCGCTTACCGCCCCGGTCGGGCGCGTGGTGTGCTCGGAGCAGGGCGCTGCCCATGGTATACAGTAAACGCAACCAGCGAAAGAGCGCACGGTGCGCCGCGACCATCCCGGGAGTCGAGCCTAGGATGATTTTGGACCATGCGGCTTTCCTGTGAATAGCCACTATTGGCTTCAAGGATAAGGTTTGATTTCCTGTGAATAGCCACTGTTGGCTTGAAGGACAAGATTTTACTAGCCACCTTTGGCCCGCTGGGCTGAGGTCGGACGCTGGCTGCTGGCTGATGGATACTCCAGCGCGGCCGAGAAGACTGCGCAGGCGTGGCGGGTCCCCGGTGGGGCGCGCAAACGAAGGAGAAAGCATGCTAGACACTGTGCGCAAACTCGCCAGCTGAGCGCGTACATGGTTGTTTTTTTTTGGGGGGGGGGGGGGGGGGTCTGTGGGGGATTCGTCGATGTCCGGTGATAGCGACTGCGCACCGGCAAGGAAATATCTGTGTGGGTGAACGAGACTACGGAGGCAAAAAAGGCAGATAACGTAGAGACAGCTAGTGCGTCCACGCGGTGGACACACGTTGCAGCACGCGTGGCTCCCAGTGTGGAGAGGAACAGAGCAAAGCGGCCTTCTCCAGGCTCTCAGCCAAGACATTCAGTCATACAGAGAAGAGGATGTGTGACGAATGCCATGCCATGGAGCCGCTCTTTCGTTGCACCCAGTGTGGAGAGGAAAAGAGCAAAGTGGCCTTCTCCAGGCTCTCAGCCAAGACATTCCGTCATACAGAGAGGAGGAAGTGTGACGAATGCCATGCCAAAGAGCCACCATCGGATGTCATCTCTTGCATGAACCCCGTGATGCGGAGCCCTCCTCCCCATCATTGCCCAAAAATTTGGACCCAACCCTTCACCACCAAAGCAGGTACCCAAAAAGTCGACTTTTTGGGTACCTCCCAGGTTTACCATCAGACGTCATCTCTTGCATGAACCCCGTAATGCTGACTTTTTGGGTACCTCCCGATTTACCATCGGACGTCAGCTCTTGCATGAACCCCGTGACGCGTTGGGTTCTGCGGCCTGTGGGGCCGCAGGGCGCTGCCCACGGTCTAGGGTACATTCAAGTGCCACAAGTGTCGGCGCCCGGACTTGTGCTGAATCGATCGGTTTCTCCCGGCGACCCAACCCATTACCACCAAAGCAGGTACCTAAAAAGTCGACTCGGCGCCCGGACTTGTGCTGAATCGATCGGTTTCTCCCGGTGACCCAACCCATCACCACCAAAGCAGGTGGCCAAAAAGTCGACTTTTTGATTACCTCCCAGATTTACCATCGGACGTCATCGCTTGCATGAACCCCGTGATGCTGAACCCTTCTCCCCATAAAGGATATCATTGCCTGAGAGTTCAGACCCATCACCACCACAGCAGGTACCCCAAAAGTCGACTTTTTGGGTACCTCCCAGATTTACCATACGTGATCTCTTGCATGAACCCCGTGGTGATGATGATGCGTTCCTCACCGACGAGTCCGCGTCTATATCCTGCTGTCCAGGCACACTCTATCGCCGAGGACACCTCGCAGGCCAAACTGCAAAGGTGGGTTCCACGATACAGGACTGTCTCTGTTTTTTCAAAAGTCGACTTTTTGGGTACCTCCCAGGTTTACCATCGGACGTCATCTCTTGCATGAACCCCGTAATGCTGAACCCTCGTCCCCATTAAGGATATCAGTACTCCAACAGTTGAGACCCAACCCAGCACCACCAAAGCAGGTACCCAAAAAGTCGACTTTTTGGGTACCTCCCAGATTTACCATCGGACGTCAGCTCTTGCATGAACCCCGTGACGCGTTGGGTTCTGCGGCCTGTGGGGCCGCAGGGCGCTGCCCATGGTCTAGGGTACATTCAAATGCCACACGTATCGGCGCCCGGACTTGTGCTGAATCGATCGGTTTCTCCCGGCGACCCAACCCATTACCACCAAGGCAGGTACCGCGCCCGGACTTGTGCTGAATCGATCGGTTTCTCCCGGTGACCCAACCCATCACCACCAAAGCAGGTAGCCAAAACGTCGACTTTTTGATTACCTCCCAGATTTACCATCGGACGTCATCTCTTGCATGAACCCCGTGATGCTGAACCCTTCACCCCATAAAAGATATCATTGCCCAAGAGTTGAGACCCATCACCACCAAAGCAGGTACCCAAAAAGTCGACTTTTTGGGTACCTCCCAGATTTACCATACGTGATCTCTTGCATGAACCCCGTGGTGATGATGATGCGTTCCTCACCGACGAGTCCGCGTCTATGTCCTGCTGTCCAGGCACACTCTATCGCCGAGGACCCCTCGCAGGCCAAACTGCAAAGGTGGGTTCCACGATAGAGGACTGTCTCTTTTTTTTTCACGATAGTCCTGTCGTTGTCTAAGGGGCCCCGTGTGTGGCCGGGAACACTGGCATAATAGCCAAAGGTTAACAATTTTTGGTGCAAATCTGGGAACCTAAGTCAGGAGGACATGCAGGAAAATTTTTGGAAAAGCACCCTCCCGAATAAACAAAGCCTAGAGCATTCCTAGCATCTAGTCGAAAACGTAACAAAATCTAAGTGCGGCCAAGAGTATTCCTAGGAAAAATCAAGGGCATTGGCCGGGAACACTGGCATAAAATAGGTTAGCCAAAGGTTAACAATTTTGGGGGGAAATCTGGGAACCTAAAGACAAGAGGAAGCGCCAGAAAATTCTGGCAAAAGCATCCAACCGAAAACGTAACAACATCTGGACAAAGCCTAGAGCATTCCTAGGAAAATATTGGAAAAGCCTTTGAAAGTTCCATAGGTTAGCAAAAGGTTACCAATTTTTGGGGGAAATCTGGGAACCTAAAAACAAGAGTCAGCGCTAGAAAATTCTAGGAAAAGCATCCAGCCGAAAACAGAACAAAATCCAGACAAAGCCTAGAGCATTCCTAGGAAAATGCTAGATGCAAGCGATGCGCTAGAAAATTCTTGGAAAAGCATCCAGCGAAAACATAACAAAATCTAGACAAAGCCTAGAGCATTCCTAGGAAAATGCTAGAAAAGTCTTTGAACATCCCATAAATCCAACAGAAAACGTCACAAAATCTACGAAAAAGCAAGGGCACTGGCCGGGACCACGCCGCGACCAGCCCGGGATTCGAGCCCAGGACCATTTTGGACCGTGCTTATTTTCCCGCGCGGGTGGAGAGGGTGTCCCAAGATGTAAATCAATTGGGATGGCAGAATCTTGGACAATCCAGGGTACCATCACGTCGTAATCTCGTCAATTCCGGTCGTAGTCACGTGGCAATCACGTCAAATCACGTAGCTATCACGTCGCTTTTGGGTCGAGATTCGTCACTGCAACAAAGGTCCGGAGGGGTAGGGGAGGTAAGGTCTAAGGCTAAAGCTACGTCCAAGTCTGAGTCTAAGGCTAAGGCTGGCTAAGGCTAAGGCCTAGTGCTAAGGCTAAGGCTTAAGCCTACGGCTAACATCGACAGTCACGCCTTACCCCACGGTGTGGGGTCGGCGGATTCACATATCTCAATTCTCTCGGGAAGTTACTATCATGCCCTAAAAGACCACACGCACTCCAACAAGAGCATGGGAGATTGTTCTATATTGTGCCACGGAAGATTTTGGGCATCCCAGATTGGTGGCCCAGGCTGGACCAGACTTTGAGAAAAAGGAGAAGATCTTAAAGAAGGTGCCTTGATGGGAGTCGCGCGACGAAACCAGAAACAGCCCACCCGTGTTCCATTTTCATTTGCGTGTCCTCCATTGGCTTGGATGGGCAAGAAGCCAGACCTCAAGCATGGCTGCAGCTTACCTGTTCAGACAAGAACAGTGCAGCATAATCTTTCGGGATACCTTGGCCTGAAGAAGTTGCAGGCAAAATGGATTGACACAGGAAGCAAAGCCCTGTACCAGTCTTCTTTATAGTTACTTAGAACCTGTTCTGCAATTCACGTTGTTTAGTCGTTGGCCCACTGAGATTCCGCATGGGCCTAGGTGAACAGGGAAGGGGAAGTGATCATTGTTGCCTTTATCTCTCCACTGGTGGAACCATTCACAACCCATTTAGATGTCCTTCTTGTGTCATTGCAGTCTCTTCAATCCACTGGAGGTTGGATCATTCTGGGTGACGCTTGTCGATGAATGTATCCTGAGGCCTACAAGGAGGGAGGTGGCGCTGGGATCTGAGTGTCGCTGGCCATCAGAGCCTCAAGTTTATCCAACGATCAACGAGCGTTTGGCCAATGTTGGGCAACGGTTGAAGCAACCACACACCCATCATGATGCTGTCAGGGAGTGCAAGAGCGTAGCTTCAAAACATGTCGCTGCATTCAAGAAGGGTGATCCGGGGCAGTTGATCCAGCAATGTTGTCGGTAATCTTTTTTTGAAAGACTCAAAGGGGTATGAATCAGTATGACTCATTGTAAATGTGACACCCTTTTGATGTGTTCCTCGCTCCAAGGCCGCGAAGGACAGAAAGAAGGACGCAGGGCCTTGCTGGGAAGGGTTTGGGTGTCTCCGGGCGGAGTTCGGTGGAATCTGGAGGAGCTAGGCAGCTAGGCTTGCCATGAGTGTATGAGTTGGGATGATCGTTGTCACGATGCTTCACCAGTCAAGGCTTGCTTGGTAGTCCACCAACCAGGTTGCCAGGATGTTCCTTCTCCTGTATCTGAGTTGACCTTTTGATGGGAGTATCCATGATTTGGATACTGCTGTTGATAATCCATTGGACTCTGTTCCTTCTTATCCATCCGTCCGAGTTGACTTCTGACTCGGATCCAATGGGTCATTGGGGCGAGCCGTGGGCCAAGGAAGGCCCGGGACTGCCCCTTGAACAAAAAGCCACGTGGTGAAGGTTCTGATCCACAAAAAGCACCCGGAACCTGACTAGCCTAACTTGTCAGGCTCATCATAGCCATCAGCACCCAAAGAGTATCAGCTCTGAAGAGCTTGGACACAAAAGTGCTCACCAATTTTGGCCCAAAGCGCCAGGAGAAAGAGAAGGATAGAGATAGGGACAGATCTCGGGAAAGAGACCGGGACAAGTCCCGTGAACGCGACCGGGAGAAATCGAAGTCGAGACCGGAGAGAGACCGCGACCGGCTGAAAGATCGGGATAGAGACAGGGACAGGGGTAGGGATCGGGAAAAAGAGAGGGAAAGAGAAAGAGACAGAGAAGCTTGTCTGCAGGTTCATTTTTTTCATGAAACCCCACGCCGGGTTCAGCTTTTGGACATGAAACTTGCCACTTGCATACACTTGCTGGCCCTGACCAAATCAACGGGCTGAATTTCTGAAGCACGCTTGAACATGTGATTAATCATGGATTTTGATTTCCGTGTTCCAGTGTTCCATTACATTATATAGATCATCTCAGGAGGAATGAGCAGGATAGTCGTAGCAAAGTAGCTAAAGGATCAAGTCAGACAGTCAGACATCAAGAAGCAATTTTTGGCTGCACTTGATATTCACACGTTCATCTATTACAAAACGCCTTTGCAGCAGGTTGTCCTAATTTCTTACACCCAGAATGGTCATTTCTTAGCCAAGGATTTCAACGGTGATAGAGCTCGAGTACGGACAGAAGAAGAGATTGAAAGGCAAAAGAGGCCCGGGCAGTGCATGTTCAACGCTCATCAGCGGTTGCCTTGACGGAGCTAGAGTACTTCGTGCCTTGCACGAGCCTCGTAGACGTTCGTTTGATAAAGCCCATTGTAAAAGCATTCTAGTCTAGTAGGGTGGTTTTATTGATCAACCGTCTATATGAGACCTTGCGGTATTGTCAAGGGGTTGGACAACAGCTAGTTTCCTCAAAAATCTAGGAACCAAACCATTAGTGCGAGCGCTTCTTCAAGGAAGCTCCCCCTGACGCCTGGGAGAGCTTCCTTGAAGAAGCGTGAGCTATCCTGCGTCCAGTTACTAGAAGCGTCGTACTTAACAGCTACTAGATGCTACTAGCTGCTAGCTAAAGTCCCCCCGGCCAAAAAAGAACTGATCTCTACATATCTCTACAACTGCTAAATTCAGAGGCAAAAGGAGGAGATGCGCCGAGCTGATCGTGAACGTGTCCTAGATCCTTGAATGCAAGCCTCGGATCTTCTCATTGCCTTTTTTGTCCCAAAACAGATCATAAGGGCTTGGTGGCGAATGCATCAACATAGTTTGCTGGCTTGAAATCCTGGGCATTGGAATTTCTGAACGACATTTCATGAATCCTCAATTTGTATCAATTTGGCATCATTTAGAAGCCGGCTGAGGGCTTGGTATGATGGTAAGGCGATATTCAATTTCGCTTGACGAGCAACCTACACCACACCCCTCCTGTGTCTTGCGCTCCTGCCTTTGTGGAGGGAAGAAGAGTGGTTCGACTACGACACGATCTTTCTAGGAACAAGAAGCTACGCATCGCTACTAGGAGCAAGGACGCTACTAGTGGCTCCTGGCCGTACTACTAGGAGCAAGGGCGCTACTAGTAACAAGAAGCGATGAAACGAGTCGGATGAGGATATCGAGCCAGCGAGTGAATACGGCATACGGCATACGCCACCCACAAAAAAAAACTGGAGCGGAATCGTCACCCCCTCCCTAGACTCGACAAGCCTAGTGCTTAGTGCCCTCCTTTCTGGCAAGGAATGCTCCGTGCCTTAGGAAATGGAGCATGAACGTGAGAAGGAGCGGGAGAAGGAACTGGAAAGGCGGAGAGAGGCCAGAGAAAGCCTTGCGAAAGCACAATCCTAAAGCGTGAAGACGGACAACCGTGTTTGTTTTCAAGAGGGATGTCTACAGACCATGTTTGAAGGCATCCTTCCCATGATGGATCCTCCATTGCTGGCAACCAAAGGAAAATAAAGGAAAATCCCTAGGACAACTTTGCTCCATGTTCAGGATATTTTTTCAAGCTTCAAGAGCTGTCTTTCGCAGCAGACAAGCCACTGTTGTTTCTGGCTTGTTGTGGCAGGCCAAGAAGCAAATGGAAAGGGAAAAAGAAGAGCGGAAAAAGGAGTCAGGGGCTTAGTGCCAGGGACCGTCATGCGCCGCCTGCGCTGGTAGATAGATTCTCATCCAGGCTTAAGCTAATTCGCAAGCCTGCAAGGCCTGTCACAACCAGAAATGCATTTCGATATCTGCTTTCTATGTGGAGAAGGCTTCCGAGCGTGTTGAGGAAGAAGGCCAAAAAGAAGGAGAAGAAGAACAGAAAGGTGGGACGTCTGTCTGTCTGAGCAATCTTTTTCGTCTCATCACGAGGGCAACCTATCCAGGCTAAACATGCTAATTAGCTATAACAAGCAACTCAAACCTACCTTTTCCTACTCTTCATTGAATTCAAACTACACACCTTTGATTGATACCTACCTGTTTGACATGTTGTTTACAGTTCAAGCGGTTCAAGGGGAGAGTCCACACTGCTTTCCGCGACATTTGTTTGTTTTAGTTTTGGCAGTTGTTTTTGTAGTTTTGGCTGGTTGTGGGGTAGTGTGGTGCTGCCATCGAAGGCTAGAATGTTTTTGAAGTGGTGCAACAAAATTGGAACACAAGGTGCTAGAAAAAGCTGTATCTTGTCCTTGGTGCAAAGACGTAAGTATTTCTTCAGTTTTTTGTAGTATTGGGGAGTTTTTAGCAGTTTGCAGTTGGACCACGATGTGTCTTACGCCACGGTAACAATTTACGTCTTGTTTGCAATGCCCGAGAGGGTGGTGGTTCATTAGTACTTGATCCAGTGCTGTTGCGCTGCAGACCGCCCTCTTTGAGTTGAATACGCATCAGATGGAGCACATCCATCCACACTCTGCCCATCTATGACCTACCTATGCATCTATGACATACCCAAATCTATCCAAAAGTACCTACATCGAGTTATCTCATCCAGGGCCCCTCGTCTCTGTGTTTCTCGAAGGAGGGTGTCCAGCTCAGCAGCTCCAGCAGCGACGGCGGCGTCCAACTCACGGGCCTCGTGGGCGCCAAGCCGGCAGCGCCGGAGGCGGCCGAGAAGGCATCCGCGCCTGGACCAGTGGGATCCTGTGGCCTTTGGCGTTTTGATTCTTTCCTGACTGAACAGTGATTCTGTTCTACCGGGCACTGGATGAGCTCCTCTAGTTTCCCTTCTGCCAGGTGCTGGTCTCTGCTTGGGACAAGCGCACATTGAACATCATGGAAGAATGGAGGGTGGGGTAAATAATTACAGTAGTTTGTCATGTGGCTTCACACACCGTATAGTTAGACTTGGAATTGGACATGTGTTCTTTGGCTTCAGTCCGTGTTTCGTCACTCAAGTTCAAGGATGGCTTTGGAACTCAAAATGGACTCGCCAAGGTTCTGAAGAAATGTGCTAAGCTGCTACTGCGTCTCTATGCCAATGTCAGGATGAAAACATGCACTGTGCCATGGGCATTCAAGAAACTCACATGTAGCGCAGTGGCAAAATGACAAACGGGTACTCAGTGCGCATACGGACTCTTTTCTGTAGTCGGTCGTTGCAATATTTGTGCGACACCTGATCCAAGCATACCAAGCGAAGAGGTCATCCGCAGTGTTTCTTACGTTTTGTACCACGCTGATTTGGGTTGTGCAGATCAACACGATTTGGTAATTTGGTGAGCCAGATCTTGACGGTCTCAGAGCCAAGCCTGACAGCTTGGTTGGCAACGTCATAAACCAGCCATCAAGCGGCGGCGTGCCCGACAGTTTGGGAATTTGGTTTCTCATAGACTCTTTGGACTTTAGACTCTTGAATGGTTTGATATACTACATAGTGACTCTCGTGACGATACTTGGTTTTGAGCACAAAGGGGCAGCCTCCAACCCTGGAGGCAGTGTCGTTGGATTTGGATGTGGATGTACCCAAGACGGTCGACCTGGACATAGCGCCTTGCCACTATTGCGTCATTGTTCTTGTGAGATCAGTATAGAGTTAGTATGAGTTAGTATTTTCATGTATTTCTCTCAGTCAGACCTTGAACGCCGAGTGCTGTCTGCTGGTGATTCTCAGTAACGTACAGTATATTGTGAAATACATCTGACCAAGCATTGCAGAGTTTATTTAATATTGACGTGCATAGAGACTTTTGCACCACAAACCTGGACTTGACCACTTGGTTCCTGTTGCACAGCTGGACGGTGCATGGCAGCATATTTGTGAGGACGGCGCAATCGAGCTCGACGCAGAGCCGAAGCCGAAGCCGAAGCCGGTAAGGTCTAATAGCGTGGCGGAGGCCTGGTTGAGGGGAGTCGTTTCGTGGGAAAGTTAGGGGATGGTTGGGAGTTTTCATTACGCAGAAACATTTTTAGTATTTAGCGACATCGAGCTAAGCGGATTTGCCCTTAAAAACAAGAACACCTAGAAAACCAAACGAGGAAACCACACTTCTTCATTAATTGTTGTATGGATTAACTATACATTTCTATTATGTCAATTTATTATTCTACTATATTCTACTAAATATTGATATATGTTGTTGGAAAGATCTACTAAATTAGCACTTCATCTGTGAATTATTAATGTATGGATGTAAGCTATGTATATGTGCAATATTATATGCAGCAGAAGATTATACAACTGGAATGCTGCTTATTATTGGATGCACCGATTACGATTATATTATGTATATTTCACCTATATCATTTAGCAGTTAAGTTATGCATTTACAAACATTCGTGGATCTATGCTATTTTAGTACAACAAGTACTGGATCATGGTGCTTTATTATCAGTATTAATGGACAATTAGAAAACACGTTGACTTTCGCTTGAGGGCAGTTTTCGGGGTTTCGTGGTTTTAGCATTTTTGTGGTGTTCGCGGTTATCGCGTTTAATGGTTATCGCGTTTTGTGGTTTTCGCCGTTTTCCCAATTTTCGGGTTTTCTCAGTTTTCGCGTGTTCGTGGTTTTCGCCGTTATCTCGGTTTTGGTTGTTTCGCGTTTTCAAGGTTTTGATCGTTTTCGCACTCCGAATTCACGCAGTGCATCAAATCAGAATATTGTGCAGAGGGCATGTATCGTGACAGATTCAACTTAGCTCCAAGTTGTATTGTGTACATTTTGCATGGAAATGGTTCAGAACCAAGAAGGCCTTCTTAGAACTTAGAACCATGATAATTATACACTTGGGAGCACTTAGATCCAAAGGAGACAGGACTTCTGGACTTTTTCCAACTGGGGTCTTTTGTTCACCAGTTGTAGGGTACTTGATTTTTGGCACATACGGGTTTGTATTGAAGCGGTGGGCATATACTTATGAACCTGTCTACTGTCTAGAGGGTTTGAACTAGTTCTAAGTAAATTGTTCTAAGTATGGCCACCCCTCATTGTTCAAAGTGTTTGGTCTGGTGCATTCAGGAAAACAAGTAGGTTCATGTAGGTTCCAAGCATCAGGTCGTCACTGTACATTCTGGAAAGCTTTGACTTTGACCACTCCAGCCCAGGCATTGTCCAAAAAACTCTTCACTAGATAGGGAGCACAGCCCTTGATTCTAGCATTAGACAGTTTTTTGTGTTTCAAACCACTGGATCCGCTGGGGGCTGCTTTGCGTTTTGATGCTTCTTTCTATGTTGCGGGGTCCGCTTGTTTGTGATACGCAACATCATTTTGCCTGGCAAAGCCCCTCCTCCGATGTCATCGAAACCTGCCACTCTCATGGTCCGTTTTCGCGTGAAAAAACGCCGGATCCCTGAACATCCGCTTAAGCGGACGGCACGAACAAAAACATTGTACAGTTTCATTCAGTGTTGCGTGGCTTTTCAGCTGCGAGGTTTTGTTTTGAATTGATAAGCCGCCGGAATGATTGCACATCAGCTGGAAAAGTTAAAAGGGGCTCATACTATCTCATACTATCATAGAACATCATAGAACATCGCAATCTGTTGCACATTCGTTCAGGGCGCAATGCGATATTCAGGGACCCCATTTGCAAGCGAAGGTGAAGCTGAGTCCTGTTTCTTTATCAAGGATTAGCTCATGAATTGAGGACCATAGTCATGAAATCTTTTGGTACACCAGATTTCTTGCTTTGCCCTATATAAGTGAATCTGATGCTCTGCAACCCTCTGCGAATATCCGTGAAAAGACCAATAAGATGCTCGAAGCTGCTTCGTGTCTTTTTATGTCTTTTTCATGCTTTTGTCCAGCAGCGTGTTGCGGAAATTTGTGCAAACTACCCCTGTTGAGAGCCAGATAGCATTGGAAGATGGTTGCTTCATTTTCCTAGC